ACTGTTGCCTCCTTCCTTTCCTCATCCACTCTGTTCATTGTCAGGAGCGTGGCTCTTCCAGGTATATTTGTATACATCCTCTGCATTATTATTACCACCACCCAATACGTGCTGTGAAACCCATGCCTTTGCTTTTCATCATAGCTTGTGAGTCTACTGCCCCTGGCTTTCATTCTTTCTTTTATGTATTTACTAAATATCCCTAGCTCAACAACTTTTAAGGATTCTTTATGGGAACTCTTTGATTTTAATTTAAAAAAATTCTGCATTCATGAGTAGGTGAGGATTGTGCTGTGGGTACTAGCTTTAAACTCTTCTCATTTCATGTAACCTAATGTTGACAGCAACTTCAAAAAGAAGATCTTGCCCTCTACCAGAAGGGTCAGGAAGTAATTCTTCTTAATTTCTAGAGGGAAAAAGGTAGTCATGATGAGCAACTGTTTGCTCTTGTATCCTCAGGATCCAGTGTGTGGAACATAGTAAATAACTGAAGATCAAATGGATATGTCCTGGGGAGTGTATACAAAATCACTTTCTGATTTAGGTGAAATATATTGGAACAAAACCCCAGAGGAAATAGAAAGTTCCAGAGTAGCAAGTTCTGTCAGAGAAAATACTTGATCAGAGAAGAGCTAAATACTTAACATGACTCAGTATAAGAGCAAGTGAAAATAATAAAGAAGAAAATTATTATATTTTCTTCTGATAAATTGCACAGGAAAATCTAGTGAGGCAGTGGGAGCAAGGTTAGAAATAAATTTTCTTCATTGAGCTTTTAGTGACTATTTGGATAGGGGGTTTAGTCTCAAAAAAAGGGTAAAGGTTGTGTCTTCTTAGATTGGAATGACCACCAAAGCTGAAGTTGAACCCTGTCGTGTTAATTATCTACTGCTGTGGAACAAATCACCCCCAAACCTGGCAGCTAAAGCAATACACATTTATAATCTCACAGTTTTTGTGAGTCAGAAATCAGGATGTGGCTTAGCTGGGTGACCCTGGCTCAGCGTCTTTCACCAGGCTGCAATCACAGTGTTGGCTGGGGCTGCAGCCATTTCAAGGCTCAACTCCGGAGACTCCTCTTCCAAGGTCACTCATGTGGCTACTGGCAGACTGCAGGCCCTCGCTGGCACCTGGCCACAGACCCCAGTTCCCTGCCATACAGACCTCTCCCCAGAGCAGCTTAGAACATGGCCGCTGGTTTCCATCAGAGTGGGCAGGTGAGGGGACAAGAGAGACCAGTGCCTGCCAACACCCGCCGCTCTTCCTCTCTCCCTGACACCCCCAAGCAGCAGGCGTAGTAGAATGGTGGAATGGCCTTCTGAAATTTCAGGTATAATGACTGTGAGGTGACAACACCTTGTGAAGCTGGGACAGTGTCTTCCAGGATATGAAATTTGTTCTGAATCTGCATTTACTATAAAGTGCTATTTACCCCTGATCTGGAAATGAAGTGACACAAGTGGGACTGGTTTCTCTTCCTATTATCCTTAAGGACCCACTTGCCAAACTGTTGCTTGCCATTGCCATGACGGTAGGCTCTGCTGGTCGGAAACTCTTGGTTCCACAGGGAGAAATGTTTCCATCAGGTGACACAATAATGATTTCATACAAATGAAGGTGAGACTACCATCTTGTCATTTGGGGCTCCTTATGCCACCAAACCAATGGGAAACAGAGGGTGTCACTATACTGTCTGTGTGATGGATACCGATTTCCCAAGGAACACTGAGTTGCTGTTACTCACAGTGTGTGTGTGGGAGGGGGTAAGAAGAGTATGTCAGCAATGCTGGGAATGATACAGTGTGTCTTTACATTTCCTGCAATTACAGTCAATGGGATACTACAACAACCTAACTCAGGCAGGATTTCTAATGGCCCAGACCCTTCAGGAACGAAGGTTCGGGTCATTTCCCAGGCTAAGCTGCCCGTGGAGAGCAATGGGAATATTAACTGGGTAGTGGAAGAAGGCAGTCATAATATCAGCTAAAAGCATATGATCAGCTGCAAAAGTGAAGAATGTCATTGTATTTCTTTATTTTTATGTGAATATATATACACTAAATATTTTTGTTTTGTCTCTTGTCTTATTCCTTTATCACTGGATATAAGATGTGTCAATAGTATCTTTGTCTTTCAGGATTTAAATTACAAGATATCAAACAGGGACAATAAAGGGACTTTGTACTGTCAACTGGGGAAAAAGGTTAGTGTGTTTGCGGGGCTACCTGGTCACTGTACCATGTCAGGTGGAAGTGTGACTTTATTAATGTCTTCAATTGGAGGTTAAATATGTTTTAGGGAGATAAATATTGGTGCCAAACTGGCAAGGGGTGGCCTGTGATAGATGTTCAATGAATAAATCTGGCTAGGCTGAATTACATTTTCTGGAATTCTTTTTCTTGTATGTTTCTGGTTGGATGGGACACAAGAGAAAATTTTATTGTTTTGATGGGAAATTTCCTTCAAGAGAAGAAGCAATCATTTCTAGTGCACACACACACATCGTCACGAATCTGCCAGCTCATTCTGTGGTGTATGGCAATGGCCAGGACTCCAGCTGGTCCTCACTCCCTGGCTTCTCCCTCAGGATCTGATTCCTGGAGCAGGTATGTGTACGTTTAGCTGCATGACAAATAGCACAGGATTCTAGGGCTACTCGCATTACCAAAGACAAAGGCAGTAAGAGCTGACTGACATGCTTTTAAGTCCATCTTCATCGTACGGACTTCAGCTCTTGCTTCTGGGTTCTGGCTCATTTCTCTTCTCTGCCATTTTACACCTAAATTTCCCCACCAACTGCCAGCTTTGGGACACAAGCTCCAGCATCACATGCAAAGTTAACATCTTTACCAAGACTGTTTAACCAGCTCTGGCCAGGAATCAATAACAAATCTTTTCCTCTACACTGATATAAAGAAGTCTGTCTTCATTATTTGTGAAGTCTTCATCTGTGAATTTATCTACTCACTAAAATTTATTTATAACCTCATGGCAATTTTTCAATCATTTACAATATGCACACCTGCAGAGTACTGAAACAGTTCAGTCACCATTCTTAACAAAGGCCATGCTCTGTCTTCTTGGTTCAGATCTCATACTGTAAACAAATGTCCTTTACACAGAATATTTAGTGCCAAATTTTTTGAATTTTTGTGCTTTTGTTATATTTGTTTGTTTATATTTATTTATTTAGAGATGGTGTCTTGCTATGTAGTTCATTCAGGCTAGCCTTGAACTCATTATGTAGTTCACAATGTCCTCAAACTCAGTGATCCTCCTGCCTCAGCCTTCCGAGTGCAAAGATTACAGGCTTGTGACACCATGACCAGCTGATTTCCTTGTTTTAAATGGCTTCCAAATACAGTGCTGAGGTGCTGTCTAGTGTTCATAGATACAACAAGGCTGTGATGCAACTTATGGACAAAATATGTTAGATAAGCTTTGCTTAGGCATAAGTTAAAGGCTGTTGGTCATGAGTTCAATGTTAAAGAAGCCACAATGTATATTAAATAAGGAGTCTCTAATCAGAAACACACATACAACAAGAGTTATATTGATTGGCTGACAAAAATGTGACCAGAAGTTCACAGAAATTGTATTGCCCCGTATCTTCCCTAGGAGTAACAAGTACTTGCTAATTCAGGACTCTCAGTAACTTCACAGAATACTATTATCATGAATAACAAAAATAGGTTATATAATATATACATACAAACCCAAATATATACATGTGTACATAGGTTGCAGCATATACTGTATATGTCCTAGTGGTTCTCCTTCTGACTGACCCACTGATAGTCCAACATAATTTAGTCTTAATGATCATAAGGCTCAGGTGAAGTATTAAGGACAGTGGTGGTTCACAATAATAATAGCTCATAACCCAGAATTTGAACTGTCCTTCAAGTTTTTTCCTGTGAATATCTAAAAAATGTCTGCAACTCTAAGTACTTGGTGATTAGCTATCACCTACGCTTGGAGTTGTGTTTAAACTGCTCATTCTCTGGAATCCCTAGCCAAAGCAAGGCCATTTTTGTTGTTAGTCATAAACCGGACATGACTGTCCAAAATGGCGGAGAGCCGTGAAAGTCAAAACAGGAAAGGAACACCACTGACGTTGCCATTCCCTCTCCCTACCTAGAGACTTAACTACAAAGCCTGTAGGATGGAAGTCCATGCTATCCTTACCGTTTCCAGAACCCAACTGCTTCCTGAGGGGCCATCTCTTCACCTCTTACCTTTCGGTAGGCAGGCTAGTTTTGCCTTTATTCTCTATGAACATCTTCAAAGACATCCCAGCTCTTATGCTTTGCACTTCTGTTTCTTTTGTGTAGCATGCCATCTCGCACATCTTCCCACAATCATATCTAATGTACATGGTCTAGCTAAAATCTTAGCATGAAAATTTTTTTTTCTAAAGACTGTACACCACAGGACTGGGGATTTAGCTCAGGGGCAGTGCATCTGCCTCACAAGTGCAAGGTCCTGAGTTTGATCCCTGGTACTGGGGAAAAAAAAGACTGTATGCTACATAATAGCCTTGATTCTCTGACATATCACGGGGTGGGTGTTCAATCAGAGACAACGTCCTGTAAAAGACTGTTATGGCTACCCAATCCTTGTCTTTGGCACTGTCTTATCTCCCAGAGCTTCAACAGCAACTGTCTTCATTACTTTTGAATTGTTCCACCTCTTCATTCTCCTGAGTTTGTTGGTAAGCACTTTAAGCTATCTAAGTTTTGGTAGTGGATTAGACATATGCCCTACATTATCAATAATTCATTCAATAATTCAAGGCAGAACAAAATACTTAATTCACAAAATAGAACTGTACATTTCTTTATGCTTATGTTTTTGTTTTGTAGTGCTGTGGATGGAACCCAGTGCCCTGTGTGTGCTAGACCATCACTCTACCACTGAACTACACCCCAGCCCTTGAATTTTACATTTCATTAGCAAATTTTTTACTTAAAAATACACATCTTTCATCAAATACATACCTGCTGAGACTCTGGGACAGTCAGGCAGCATGGATTCCACTGATGTGTCTAATGGTTCTGAGCTAGAGACCCAATTACAACAGTTCTGCAATGTAACAGAGATAATATTGTTGAAACACAATTTAAGCCAAGACCAAATATTTAGGTGGAAAAGCTCAATTGATCCTATAAAATCAATCACTGAGAGTGTATTTAATTCCATATACTTAATTTTTTCTTAGGTAAACATTAATTATTTGTGAGTAAACTGTCTGTGGGAAAAAGTTTATCTTTTACAATTCATCAACTTAGCTGCACTGATATTAAGAAGACATGTAACCTGTGAACCATATTGCAATATATTTTTAAGAAAAGATTAGATGGCCAAGGAATAAACAAATATAGGGATTATAATTAAGGCAAAAATTTAAAGTGTACCATTCTAAGCCCTGAGAGTGAAATAAATACTGATTTGAACCAAGTAAAAGAATAACTAATGTGTAAACTGTACTTTTTGTATAATACTAGACAAAATGGATTTTGAATTTCTCCCAAAAAATCTGCCCCTTATAAATATATTCTTTTAAGTTTTATTTTGACTTGGCCCAATGAAAGCTATACCGAAACAGTTATATAGATTAGAAACACAACCTGGTGAAATGTAGTTGTGTGTCTGAGGACACAAAGCTTTCAATATTAACGATCACTCTCTGTGGTCATGATGATTTGTGATCAGAAAAATGAAAGTATGCTATCTTTACTTTATAAATTTTAAGTCTGCATTTGAACATTAGCTTAGAAAATATGATTAACGTCATATGATTTTTTAAAATTACACACACACACACAATATGAATTTCCAGACAGATTTTATTTTAAAAGAAATCATCCCATCAATCATGTTGGAAAAATGGGTGATTGCTATTCTAGTAAACAAGGATGCATTGTGTATTTGTAGATGCTTGCTGCCCTGGTTGTGCACCATGGAATCCGTCCTCACTGTGGAAAGACCCTTGACTGGTAGATCAAGTGTCTTATTGTATTTCCTTAATTCATTCTGTCTGGAAGAAGATGTCAGCTGTGTTGCAGTGAGGAGAGAATTTCAAAGGCCCCAGTCCCCACCAATAAAGGCCGAGGAATGGCTATTGAATAGATTTGTCAAGGCAACCCTACTGTTCTGGGACCAGAGAGAGCAGGAATAGTATAAAGGAAGGGTTGCTCTATGAGATTAGAAAGTGAAGTTCACAAAGCATGGCGGATTTTTGTAAGAAACAGTGGATCAATGAAACTATTGAACTGTGTAGGAGAAAAAAACGTGAAAACAAACACATCTAGTAATATTCTTAAATGCTTTCTCTTTTTATATTTAAAATGGATCAAATATTAGTATTTTTCATGTATTACAAAAGCTTGATGGTTTTAAATGGATACATATTCAATAACATGGCCTCCTAATCTTAATTAGCAGATGAATGCAAACTTATGCAATGTGAGAGTAGAAATTATAAAAGAAATAGGGCTTTAGAAGCTTTCATACATTTGAAATAAGTAAAATTAATATTACCATTGATAGAATACGACATCAGAGAATTCTAGATAATGCAGAAGATTAGCACACAATTAGCCAGCTTTTATATACAGTCTGACACTTGCTTGTAAGAAATAAGTATTCTCCAAAGCAGTGTCAAGATATAGAAATGGATGATTTGTTTTATCATTCATCATAGCCCCTAATAAATTCAAACTCATGACTTCTATAGATACTAAAAATAGGCTCGCAATGATACAGGGAGATAGCTTCAATGAAGAATGACTTTCTCTTTCTCTCCCTTTTTCTTAAACAATTCAGTCTTTTCAATGACAGCAATTAGCACTACCAACAGACAGGCAGCGATTAGGTTATATTTTAATTATTATTCATCCTCATAGTACCTCTAAATCCGATGAAAGTTGGCTATTACCCAGGTGATATGTCAGTCTCAATACTGATATCTACACTTTATATATGTAAAACTATATCCTATAGGATTTTCTAGTATTAATAAAAGTGATGGCATATTATAATATGGGGATATTAATTGTTTTCCCAACTTGCTGATTTTTAAAAGCTAGAAAAATGCAATTTGTCCATTTTGTATAGGTTGGCTTTAACTCAAACACTGAAAGCAAAATTTCGGTTTTTATCTAGGCACTTGCTATGATCCCATAAAAATTAGATAGAAGCTATGCACCCTATAGTTAAAGTGAATATGCCCACAAGTTCTGTGGAATGACAGCGCAACCTGTGTGGGATTGTAAAGGTTTGAAGCTGTTAGTGTGAAGAGTGTATTATGTGTGTGTACAAATGTGGTATTTTTACCTTAGTGGAAAAATCACATGAAGACAGGGCAAAACAAGCTAAAAATATTTGCTGTATGATAGCATATGATGAAATAAAAAAATAAACATTGAAAAGTATATGTGAGAGGTGTATAACCATTATCTATGAATTTAATTCACCTGAAATTCCACTTTATCACATGTAATTCCCTGTCTTGAGATGTGTTTCTGTAGTTTAAAAAGCAAACTTCTTTCATTATTTTTCTAATGCTTATTGATCCTCGTTAATGCCCATGTTTGTCTCCTACCCGGGTTCTTTATTTGGGCTGAAGACTATTAATATGCCTCAGGTGGCAACACAGACAGCCCACTAAGAAAGCCCTAGCTAAATTCAACTATGCTAGAGTGTGCTGGCAGCCACTGAGATCTTATGACAAGGTGCCCAGAGTAGGCAACAAGGACTCCAGGTACCAACAGTGCCACGCTTGGGTCTTAGATCTAGCACCCACTTCACACAAACAAGCATCAAGAAGGAAACCCTTGCCCAGAGCCCACAGGTGGGATGGATTGTATAACTAGTGTTTCTCTGGGAGTAAAGGAAAAAGAGGAAAGCAGGAAATGTAGTGCGTGTTTCTTAGAGTTAAGCATTTTCAATTTAAAAGTTTCTTACTGTAAGATTATGACCCTCTGGATTTTTGTGGTTCTAAATTTTCCCTTTGTTAAATCCAAAAGTTTGAGAACTACTGATATGGACTGGACGTGCCTCTAGACCACGGCCCTCTGACTGGAACCCAGGGTTGACAACAGTTTAAAGTAGATAGAAAAGAAAGTTTTTATACAAGTATTAGAATTTAGAATATTACATTTAAAGAGAAAAGTAAATAGTAGCTATTCCTGCGCAAGGTATTTAGAGATGTTTGCTGTGTTGGATGAATCTAGGCTTTTTTTTTTTTTAATGTTTGCAATACATAGCGGTTATATTTGTTTTGGGGAACATCTTTATTGTTTGTGATCCCTTTACTTCCTCTGTACTCTTCCCTTGATCCTCTTCCCCTTCTTTGAAAAGTCTGGCTTTCTGTTCCCTATCATCTCGCCTTTGCTTTACTTTGTTTTTATATTTTGGGTTTGTAATGTGATAGAAACCATACATTATTACATTTTCTGTGTCTAATTTGACTTAACATTATGGTTTCAAGATTCATCCATTTTTTTCCTGAAATGGCATGATTTAATTCTTATGTCTGAATAACATCCCATGGTGCATACCATTTATGCCATTTTCTTTATCCATCAGTCTGCTGATGGGTATCTATGGTGTTTCCAAAGCTTAGCTGTTGTCAACTGTGCTGCTATAAACATGGGTATGTATGTATCACTATAGTATGATGTCTTTAACTTGTTCAGTAATATAACCAGGATAAAATGAAATTTCTGTTTTTAGTTTTTTGAGAACTCTCCATTCTGATTTACATAATGGTTATAATAGTTTACATTTCTACCAACAATGTAGGAGGGTTCCTTTGTCCCTTTATCCTCATGAGCATTTAGATTTTTGTGTTCTTAATGAATAGACACTTCTCAAAAGAAGTATGGCCAATAAGCACATGAAAAAATGTTCATCATCTTTAGCCATTAGGGAGTCTAGGTTTTTACTCATTTTTTCCTTATACAGTTGTCTGAGTTGCAAATAACCACTGTCTAAAGGTTGACCTTTAATATGAAAGATTCTGTGTCCACAGAGAAGTTGAAGTGTTATTCCCCAGGCTGGGTCTACATTCAGAACTGAAAGGCCATAGAAAGGGTTCAAGACCGCTATGGAGACTGCATATGTGGCTTGGCTGGAGACTTTCAGAAGCCACGGGTATGTCAGGAAACAACAATGACCCACTGAGACCTGATAGTTTTGGAGCTGATGTGAGAGGTTCCTCTTAGCAGCCTTTGGTCACCTTTTCCCTCTCCTCAAGAGGCCAGCTTAGCTTCTATACTTGGTCTTTTAGCTGGGAGTTTTACTTAGTATAATTGTCAAAAGCAGCCCTCTTTAAAAGGAACTGTTATTTAAAAATTATATAATACAAAGATATATTTCTTAACATCTATACTGTATGCTAAATTGATAATTTTAAATAAATAACAGCTTTTTATAGTAAGTGAATACCATGAAACAACTATCACATTAAACATGGATGCAAAACATAAAACTACTTTACTGCTTTTTAGAATAGTATTAAGACTAACTAGGCAATTCTTAACCACTGTTCCACTTCCAAAATTTACAGCAGTTTTTGGTGAAATAATAAACCCAATCATCAAGAAGATAAAAGCACCAAGGCCTCCACTATATGTTAACAGCCTCTACATATTATTTATGTGGACAATATTCCAGGTTAGCTACAGTGCTGATCTTGGGGGTGGGTAGCTGCAAAATATCAGTGTGCTTGCTGCTTCCAAATGCAGCAAGAGTAGGAGGTGGGAGAGCAGGGGCTGCTGAGCGGCAGTTTGCCTCATCACTCTACTCTCAATGCCCCTGCTCATGACAACAGCCCCGTCCATTCACTGTAATCCAAGATTGTTAGTTCTTCAATATTATGAAGAGTCTTATAGGGTGGAGAGTGTCCGAGAAAGGAGAAAGAAAAGAGACCAGAGTTCGTCCGGAGTGTTGGGAAACACTGGACTTGTGTCTTGCTAAGGCACACTAACACTTCCTCTGCTAGGCCTCACCCACTGAGGGGAGTTAGACTAGGATGCATGTCACAGACTTCTGTAGCCTCGCTTTTGTTCTTGTCTTGGAGAAGAGATCTCAGCAGGGAAAATTTCACAGCTCTACCAAGAATGATGTAATAATTTTTCTAAGATTGTAAAGTGTTTTCCGTAATAACATATCTCATTTCTTTATGCACTACCATTTGCTTTTCAGGGGGTTTTCTTTTTGATCAACATCTTTGATTCTTGTAACAGTTCAAGAAGTAGCCAGATAGGAATTATTATCTTTCATTCACAATTATGAAACAGGCCCTAAAAGATGGATTGGTTCATTGAAAATTACGAGTCTTAGTAAAATAGCCAGTATAATATATATATATGTATATATATATTATATATATACATATATATATATATCTCCTTAGGTACTGATTTATTTAGTGAGTGACTAAGCTGAATCAAAACTCAGTTTGCCTAATTACTTGCTCTGAATACTTCCAACATGTTACTCTGCTTCCCTTTTGTGAGATAAACTGAATATGCAAATCAAGAAAACAAAAGGAGAATACAGTTCCTGTGCTTTATATTATTTGGGAGTACAAGGTAATAACAGTAAGATCTGTAATTTGCTGAATTTCTTTAAAATGTCAGCAATAGTGCTGTTTCCTTACATAAGTTGTTCTCTACTTTTGTTTGCCAGGTAGATATTACATCCTTTGAGAAAACTGAATCTCAAAGAGATTGAATAACATGCCTAAGACTTTACAGCTAGGGAAATGACTGAGCCGGAGTTTCATTTTGATAGGTCAGAACACAAATTCTTCACATTGCTTCCCTAAGGCATAATGGGAAGAACTGAAAGAATTATCCAAGAAGTAGGACACTTAAAAAGTTTATAAATTTTATAAAATCTATACTTTTAAAGAAACTAATGGGAGCCTTGATTAAATTATGATGAATTCAATAATTCCCTGTTTAGTCAGATGAAAACTGCACAGATTAATACATTTTTTTTGAGCACACCTAATCCACCCTTAGATAGATGAGGAATGATCAAAAATAAGGTGAATACTGAAACACTTTCAAAAAATGCATTACAGTAAAAGACACATTGACATTAATCTCCCTCCAAATATCCACTCATCCCATCGTTCTTGACGCTTCGGGAAGCAGGTCTGGAATCCTCTTCCATGTCTTTAGCTGTGCCGTCCTAGCTACCTCAATGTCCTGAACTGATTGAAAATGTTTACCTTCCATGGTCATGTCTTTGGGGAAGAGCCTGAAGTCACATGGTGGCAAATCAGGTGATAAGTGTGTTTGAGGCTAGGGAAAGTTTGAGGGGGATGAATGGAAAGGTATCTCTTACTGAAATAAAACTTTTAAATTTAAACATACACTGAATTTTTGAATCAGCCCTTGTATTTAGAAGTAAATCCAAATATATTTTTTTATATCTGTCACCTAGAATGAGACTTTCATGAAGAATTTCCAGTTAAACGATAATGAATGGGGTTTTTCTAGTTTGGGCCAAATGCCAAATTCCATACTGTTTATGCATAGAAAAAAATGTCACTAAAGGCTTAATTTTGCTACTTAGATAATGCTAGGAGATGTCTATGCATTCATTTGGGCAAATAAATAGCATAAAAAGGTAGAGGCAAAGAACACATGGAATTCTATCTTGCAGAAGTTTAGCTCCTTGAAAAAGGCAATTAGAGATGAAGCCACACTGTGAAAGAGCATGTGGTCAGAAAACATCTGTGTGTTAGAATAGATTTAAACCCCACCCCCAATATGTTTACAGCATTATGAGGACTGAAATAAAACTATTTTATTTAAAACTTTTTTTTGTTTTTTTGTGCCTGGTTTATTTCATTTAATATAATATCCTCCAGGTTAATCCATGTCATCACAAATCACAGACTTTTCATCTTTTGTAAGGCCAAATAGTATTCCAGTGTGTTCCTATGCCACATTCTTATTTCCCACACATCAGATAATTAATCAGATAATTAATATCCAAACTACACGTAAATTTAAAATTGTTATTTGTTTTCTTGTGATTGAATTGTTTGAGTTTTTCATGTATTTTGGATAGAACCATTTTAGACATCTGTGTGATGAATATGTTTTCTAATGGAGAATAAGAACAGTGACACGGATTGGTGATGACACCACTGTGTAGGATTATTTAACCTAACTCTTCTATCCAAACTCTTCTCAGATACTAATTTTCTGATCCTTGTAGTGTGCCATGAGGCTTGTTAGAATGTTCCTCTCATTGCAGGTCAGCTGAAGAGACACTCAGGCATTCTATTTAGAAACACTAAGAGAAATCTAAGAAGGTCAATAATTTGGCTAAATAATTACTACAGCAGACTGGTCACTGATTTATTACGATTACTACTGATTTATCATGGGGTAGCTGATGTACACTGCTTATATTATCAGAAAGGTAAATATAAATAAAAGAGAATTACAGCCAGATATCTCGAATAGGAAACAAAAAAACAATGAACCGAAAGTTTTGGGAAAAAAAGGAGGCGCGCAGTGATTTTCTAGCCCTTAGGAAGTGTGAAAAGACGCGGAGCCCACACGGTGGCCACAGCCTGGCTTTCTCCATCCGGGCTTTTTCCTTCTTTTTGCCCTCTGGGCAGTAGTGAGCCGATCGATTTAAAAGTAGCACAACCTGACTACCTTCAAGAAGAACCACACAAGACCATGTGGACCCTGGAATTCTTTCTTATAATTAAGCGGTATCAATGCTCGCTAGCTGGTGAATCATAAAGACACCACATCCATCTTTGGGCAAATTTCTGACACATATTCTATATATCGTACATAATGCATATTCTATGATAATATTCTATGGAAAGCCAAAAAGAAGAGGAAGAGTGCCCTCAAAAAGTTTTTGTTCTCCTGAAGGGTTTTCTATTATTCTTTTCATCGTATCTAGTTTTTTCCCCCATTCTTTCTTGATACTCTCCTTCTCAAAAAGGAGCGTGGGGATGGGAGGCAATAAAAGTTAGTGGTCCTCAAGGTATAAAGGCTCAAAGACATTCATCTCAGCACTGAAAACACCAAGTCTCACCTCTCTCATCCATTCCCGAATCGTTTTGCCAGCTTCTTGATGCCACACACTGTGAACAGAGTCTGTCAATGCCACAGCAGTTACCTTACTTTTTACATCTGCTTCCCGTTGAATCATCTGTTTTAAAAAAGAAATATAAAATATTGGCTATAGTTTTTTCCCCCACTGGATGCAGCCTGCTTAGTCATAGATAATAATAATATTAGATTAAAATTGAAAGGGTCATATGTATCTGTGGTTCAAGGTTACTCTTTTCTGTACTTGAACACATACTCTATTCTTATCCAGAGATATGAACAGACCTAATATTTTCTTTTAAAAGATAATGCCACTTAAGTCTTAGAGCTAGGCAGAGCTATTATTTTTCATGTGGTTTGACAATTCAAGGATTAAAGGGATCACAGGGGAATCCCCGAGGGTTTCTTTTACAAGTTTCTTCCACCACTTCCTATTTCAGTGCTTCAGAGAAGTTAGCACCCGGGGTTCACTATTAGCTACTTAGGACTATCTTCTACTAATTTTCAGGAGTGACATATTGGTAAAGAAAGATATCTTCCTTTGACTTCTTCGCTTTAACTAGCCTGCTCTTCATCACGGTCTTGTAATTCCTCAGAGTGTTAAATGCCCACAAAGATCCTTTTCTTTCAAAGCCTATAGATATTACTTTGCTTTTGAATATACTTCTTTATGGTAGCAAACTATTCCATTTTAAATTCTTTCTATAGAATGTTACATCTGTAAAATTAAATGGCTTCTGAAAAGAAAAAAAGTGGCTTGGCTTGAAGATACTGATGAACTCACCAGTGGCCTGCCAGATAAAGAAAATGAAAAATAAAATTTCTACATCAAAAGAATAAAAAAAGTTTGTACTCTACTAATACTTGCGACCCTAATGTGGCACAATAAATATAGGAAATCTTAATAAAAATTACAGTTAAAATAGACAGATGAATTTCATAGTAATACCTTCTTTCTTTTGCAACAAATGTCTTTCTCTAAATTCTTGAAGAAAAAGAGCAGTTCCTCTGTAATTTGCTATTAATTTGTATGAATTGTCCATAAAAATATAATAGTGGACTTTAAAAAAGGGGAGAATTGTGAGTGGTGATGAAAGCTCATATGGAGAACACTGCAAGCTACGCTTCTGATGCCAAATGATGCCTGTTGGCATTTTGAATTAAAATGTCTCTTTTTAAAAATTTTCGTTAAATCCTGCATATGTACATCCCTCCTCAATGAACACTACGTAATGGAAATTGAACGCACTATCTAATTCACATTACCACACCTAAAATCTCTGATCCCTATGTTTTCTGTTTATATAATATCAAAATCTTAAAATCAATATTGGTTATCAACAACATAGTACTACTGCAAAATTCACTTTTCAAAACCAATAATATCTTTAGTGAGCATAAAATAATACTCTAATTCAATACTTCACAGTAATTATTAAGTAGTATGTAGCCTTGGGGATCTTATTTCAAAAATTATTTTCGCACTGGACCACTATTGACACTAGAATATAAAAATTTAAATCAATATTAGATCACAATAAAAATTTCTAAAATAGTGAATTCATCAGGCTAAGGAAGAAGTGATGAATCCTTACTCGTATTTTTGAAATACAAATACTTTTAGAGACCTAAAACAATTTCTGCTCAAGTTACAACATAAGAACTTGCTTTTCTGATATTCTAAGAATAAGCCTGCATTTTAAAATACTTGATCTAAGTTTTGCTGTGGTTGTTGTTAACATTAAGCAGATGTATTTAAGACCAGCTGAAGACATAAACCTTGAGGACCACCAGTGAAATGAAATAAAATTAAGTGATAAATAGGCTGAGGAATGAGAGCAAGAGAAGAAAATCTAGGAATTAAAATTGTACAAACTGGAAAAAATATAGACCTTTTAGACTAATTGAGCAAAACAACAGCAACAAGAAGAACAACACCCCCCTCCCCAAACCCTAGTCTGTCCACGTGGCAGACATTTCACACAATGAATGTGATGATGGGTGACTTTTCTTCACATCATAGCAAATCACATTATAGAGCAATATGATAATCCAATACATAGTTATACAACTTTGCAGTTAAAAATCAATTTCGTATTTTACTAATAGAGGTGAAATTCAGGCCAAATCCCTGAAGATCTTAATGAAGGGCTATTTACAAATGAACCTAGTACCAAAGAATTTACAATAGTTGGTTAAAATTAGTGGATCTTAGTCTAATTTTTCAGGCTGTTAACCTGTTTAGCATTACTGCAGCCTAATTTAGTAGTGTTGGAACTGACTGCAATTGTTGTTTCTGTCCAAATCCACTGCTTCTTGCATTTTTTTACCTGGATCATGGTCTCTCCTCCCTCCCTTCCTGTTATCCAGTGTGATTAAGAACTTGAAAGACACTGGAGAGTGGCAATGGTGGAGGCAGGCTGAATCAGGACTGTTTAAAAGCCGTCTATTTTAGAAGGAGTGTAGCGAAAGCAAGGAAGAAGTGGAGGTACAGCTGACCAGGAAAAGAAATTCTATATTATAGTCTATAATAGAAAGTCATAATATTCTGGAAAACCCAGAAATCTGCAAAGGAAAAAGCCGTAGCATCAAATCCTTCTATATATAAAAATCAAAGATGGAGATGGTGGTATTTAATTAGGATCTATGAATGTGAACACTTGAAATTTCTTGCAAAATTCTGTGCATATAAGTACTTTTCTGGGGAGATGACCTTTAGCATTCATGAGATTCTCAAAGAGATCTTAACCTCTCAAACTGGTGGATCCTGTGACCTATATACCTCTATGTATTCTTGAGTGAGGTATGAGGTTCATCTAGTAAACAACTGCACTTGAACAACTGCACTTAAGATCAATTCAACATCTATAACCAATCTTTCAAAAAGAAAGGATGATGCCTCATTTTTGTTTATAATATATTCAGTATGGTATCAAGAGTTTGATAAGGGTGATAAAAATTGATATCCCAGACATCAACAAGCTAAAATTCCATGCCTTAACAGGCTATGAACGGGAAAGTTACAATTAACGTTTATACATACATATATATATATATATATATATATACACACACACAATTTAATTATATCTAGATGGACAGTAAACAAGTTTCAAAATGAATACAAATTACTTATCATTTTATTCCCAAATAAATAAGATGTATGCAAAAATTGTATTATTTTTCCTATTTGTGGATCAGGAAACTGAGTCTGAGATAGGTAACGAAACTGTTAAGGGGTCACACAAATACAAAGTGACACAACTGTGACTTGACTGTGGATACGTATGTTGTTTCATCTGTAACACACAGCATCTACGTCCAATAATATATAACATTCTTAATCATAAAGAAACATTTGCTTAATTTCCTTCTTACATAAAAGTATTTCATTAACTTGGACATTAAAAAAAGGGTTAAAAATGATGCAAATCCGATCAGTAAGCAATGCTGAAATTCAAAAGAAAAAAATATCATGCCAAAATATAAATCAGCTATGAGTGCAAAGTGACAATCAGCAGCACTTTAAAATTATATAGTCCTAAAATAACCTCCATGATATGAGAAGTTAGATATTTCTATAAATTATTTTAATGAGAGAATTACTATAAAATATTTGCTACTCTCACCTGGTATTTTTGTTTCCTCTTCTTCATTTTCCCCATATATCTATTCACAGTCCTTTCACCTTAGGTTAAACATACCTTAGGTTAAAGGTAATCTGCTCTTTTTTTTGTTTTTTTTGGTACCAAGGATCAAACTCAGAACCTTGCGCTTGCAAGGCAGGTGGCGGCAGCACTTAGCTAAATCCCCTGCAAAATTCAGTCCCCTAAAAGATGGGGGTTTTTTAGGTACGGGGATGGAACTTGGGTCCTTGTGCTTGTGCAGCAGGCGGTGAAACCACTGAGCTAAATCCCCAGCCCTGCTCTTTCTTCCCTTATTTTCAATGCCTTTAGTCTGACAAAAGTTTCACCAAACCCAGTAAATATCAAGGAGTTTGAATAGATTCAAAACATGTGTAAGCAGGTGCATGCTATTACCATTTTTGGTGGGGTGGGAGTTGAAGGAAAACCCTATTTATCACATATTCTTCCAGAGTAAGGTGTTAAAACCTAAGTAACTATGGCTGGCCTGGTGAGCTTATTAGAGGATAAGATGCTGGGTGGAACGCAGGGCAGAGTGGGAGGAGCCGGCAGCATGCGGCCACCTTTGCTCCCTTCTTTGTGCAACGCCTTCCTTCCCCAGGGCTGCCACCCTCAGACTGTGGCTCTCCTCCTAATTTACTTCACTCCTCAAATGATGGATCTGCCACCTTCTTAACAAATCCTTGGCCAAATCCAAATGCTCTGTCTCACTCTAAAAATTCTTCAGTTTTCCTCTGTATTTATAAGCTATTGTAGATTTTCCCTGCATTTCATTTCTGCCTATCATGAACCACTTTCTGCATGACAGAATACAAAGGCTCTTTTACTTCCACTATGTGAAAATTAAGATTTAATTTAAATTAAATGAAGGCAGGGAGATATCTTGATTTACTTTGATGGAAGCGAGTTGTTGTTACAGGGCTGTACACCATGAAGAATTTGGCGTACCACTAATCAGGGGCCTTAAGACTCCAGGAATTATGAATCTAACCCGATTCAGCACCCTCAACCTAAAGGAGAAGAGAACTCTGAAGTTGGTTGGCTTCATCCTAACCTAAAGAAGTAAAAAATCTTTTTATTTTATTTGTGGCCATGGATGCCAAGCCACAAATAGAGGATGATTGCTTCTTTTATTTTAAAGTCCAAGGGGATCTCCTGAAGGAGGCCAGTGTGAGACAAGGACAGAGCTGGGTTTACATGTACACAGGGTTTGCAGTAAACATGGACAATACATTTTTGAAGGAAATGTTTTGAAATCTTCCATCAGCAAAAGCCATTACCCCCTTTTCAAATTATGACATGTTACACATATGGACTTTGAGGGTTACAGAATACGATTTACTTGTACAGGAAAGAATCTTCTGAAAGAAAATCAAATAACGCATGTTTCTTTCAGATTAGGATCTGACACTGCTGCCCGTTTATAAAGCTGAGGATCATTACTACTGTATGAGCA